CAAAATAAAACGATTCTTTTTTTATTATTATTATTTTTTTATAATCTTTTTTTTTAAATTTGTTTTTCAGTTGAATTATACTTAAAGTTCAGGGTAATCAACTGTTAAAAACATACTGTTCCCTTTTTTTTCTCCAATAAATTGATGTTTTCAAAGCAAATGGATAATCGTTTTTTAATAATCGTGATATCAATTATTGACCCAAATAATCGAGATTATGATTTTTGCCGTAATCGAGCAGCCCTACACCAGAGGGAGTTTCTCTTCCACAAAATAGACCTTTTTGAACATTAAAGCATGAAAACAGGTCACAGTAGAGCATGCTCCCCCGGGTAGATTTAAAAAAGAAAAGAAATTGAAGTTAAAAGCATCCATCTGGTGCACTTTGAGAGCAAAATGAAGAGATCTATGGATACATCTCTCAACACCCATTTGAAACAGAACTGTAAAGAGATTTACTATTTCTTTATGGATATTTTACTTATCACTCCCCTTTTAAACTTCTTTTTTTACTGTCATATAGTATTTCATACTTGTTTTTCCTTTATTCTCTTATTGTTTTATAACTATAATGATCATATAAACGTGTGCCTCGGAAATAATTGTTTACATTAATGGTGACCAAAACGTTTGAGACCCGGCCACTGAGGGAGTCCTTTAGTTCACTGAGCCTCTCAGTCCGACAGGAGAGGACTCTCCTCCACCTTGTTGTTGAAAAAGCTCCTTATATCCGTTAGCGTAGCTCGCTAGCACCAGAAGCTAACAACAACGATCTCCGGTACCGGTGCGCGCTCTCTCTCGCTCGCGCACGCATGCACACAAAATGGCTCGTTCCACACACACACAGCCGAGCTTGAATGAAACACAGAGACCCAGACGTATTTTTACTGTAGTGTATATTATTTTCGAATCAATAATCTTTCAAATTATGATTTAAAAAAATAATAATTATATTTTTCCTACAAATATGAACCTGAAAACTAGCATAATGGGGCCCCTTTAACTAACTGCTGAAGCTGCAAGAGAGGTTCTGATAAATATATATAAATACTCCGATATAAATATTCAACAAGTTATTTTTACAATGTATTGAGAGGAACCAATTCTGTCAACATGGCTACTATTGTACATTTGGTAAGAAATAACTTGTTGGGCTCATACTGTATGTGGATACCGAAGAAAATAAAAATAGAACTCAATACTACTGAGTGATGAGTTTTCACACAGCAGTGACACCCGCCCTTACTGTGTCACTGTACAGGAATCCTCTCGTTGTTCTTTTTCTTGGTTCAGTCTTCTGTGTCGCTTCACTTGCCTCTCAATGAAGCCACAGGAAGTTCTCTGTGACAAGCTGACGGCCGGTTTCCTGTTTTGAAGCGCAGTGGTGGTTTTGAAGACTCATCTTCCTCTCAGGCAGTAAAAACTAAATAGGGTCTTTGTGACGGCGACATCAAGTAATTTCTCACAGAGATTAAAGCCAAATGGAATTTTTTTATCAGGGTATAGAGGATGACTAGTTTTGTTGTTCTTTGTTTGTGTGTGTGTGTGTGTGTGTGTGTGTGTGTGTGTGTGTGTGTGTGTGTGTTTGTTTGTGTGTGTACTCTAATCTGGTTAGGCATGTGTGTCTTTTTTTTTACATGGAAAAATCAATTCATTTACCTTTGTGTTTTATTCATGTGTTTATCTACTTGCGGGTTAATCTGTGACCTTTAGTTTTATCCTGTCAGGATAATTAATTTAGAGTCCACAGTGACGTCAGTGCTGTTTGGCTATGTCTCTCTCTATCTGTAATTTATGTCTGCGCTAACAGAGGTGCAAGACAACCTCCGCATGTGAGATAATCGAATCCCAACATTTGAAGAAACCACTGTGAGGACCCTGGTGTTTCCCCTTTTCACGGTTTATTAGATTTAACAGTATTTAGAGAACATTATATTACTTCCATATGATTTTTTGTCTATCGCTGGTCTATTAAACAGAGAATGACGTGTTTTACAGGTCACATGGCTGTCTGTGGAGACCATGTTATTTATGTGCAGTAACGTGTGAACTGTGATTGGTGCTGGTACCGCCACACAGGGACCATTACTGCTAATGTCACACACACACACACACACACACACACACACACACACACACACACACACACACACACACACACACACACATACTGTGCTCCTGTGTGATGGTGCATGTGTCTCTGTTTGTGAGTTAAGTCAATAACTGTTGGCTCGGCGCCTCATTGTGCATCAGTCGGAATTTCCCATGAGCTTTCTAATTTAGCACAGTCTTCAAATTAAATGCTGCTGCTGGTGGGGTGGACTTGCATTTGTTTTTCTATTTGAGGTAACAATCAGAGGTGTTACTCTAACACTCCGAAAATGGCAGCTTTAAAACAAAATTAGAACACAAAATCAATTAGCTTAAATCCCAGTTTGTGTTTTTGTTTTGCTAATGTCTTTCTCAGGGGCTAAAATTGACCATCAGAGTAGGTAAGTATTGACAACAACAAAACAAAACAATTAAACCTAAGCCGCAATAGACCTTAAAACCCACAAAATAGTAGGCCACAAGGTGAGAAAAAGGCCAGTTTGAATGAGTGTTTCTTTCGCTGCTTTTAAAGAAGATTAAAGTTGAGTGCGTACGATAACCTGTAAGCCAGGTGACCTACAGCGGCTGAATTAAGGATGGTACAGGTCAGAGATGTACTTGAACATGCAGGGCCCTTTATTAAAAACAAGAACACAATCCTTTATTGATTGGAAGGCTGAGTAAAGAAGATTACAGCTCATGGGTGGCTTTGCAGCAGCGTTTTGGACCAGTTCAGAGACGATTTGCTGAGGCAGGTTAAAAGTGAATTGCAGTATTGTAGTTGGGATCAGAAGCACGAGTGATCATCTATAGCTAAGGTTGTGTTACAGATCTGAGTTTGCAATGTTTCTTTATTTGAAGTACTGTACAGGTCAATCATTTCATATATAGCACGATTGACATTTTCCAAGGTAAGGTCTCTTCCTTCAGCTTCCTGCAGTTTTCAGAGTAAGCTCAAAAGGGGGGTCTTGAAGGGAAAACTTAATTTCTCTACGACCCCACCACATCCATTATACCCTAAAGCACCTTGGGTATTTTTAGAGCGACACCTCCCTCCCTCCGTGCGCCGGCTTAAACGAGCGCGTCTCCATCGGAAACACTTCTTCATCGTAATGAGGCAACTCAATGAGGATTTGCGATGATGGTTCCCTCTGAGGAAAAGCTTTTCATCCTCTGAGAATGAAGCTTCCCTTCTCTCACGTGTTCATTCATATTCTTCAGATATATTATTTTTCTTATATCTCTTTCATATCCCCCAGATTTCTTTTATATGAAAGGTTTCCTTCTCTATCCTCTCATAAAAGATCCAAGTGCTCTTGAGGTTCATTTGAACTCTTATTTGAATGAAATCATAGTCATGCTGATGAGTAGATTTTAATTAGCGGCGGATCAGTGTTCACAGATGTTCATTATGAATATGAAAATGTTGATTGGTCTACTGGTGATCAATTTGGACTTATGAATCACTCCAAAACAAGTGAGCTGTATGTGTTAGCCCCACAGCAACAGGTTGCACGATATCAAGTTTCAACAACACAAATACTGATATTGTGTATTTATATTTTATTGTCTTTGATGTATTCACTTTTTTAAAGGTAAACTACTTTATAAAGAGATCTAAATATATTCTTAGACTTTGATAACATGTTTAATTGTATACAATGGGAAGGACTCACACACACTACATACAAATGTATTTAACTATGTGTTATTAAGGTTACCTCGAGCTAAAATTCATTCACAACTATTTTGATGATTCATTCATTCTTTCAGTCGATTTCCAAAAGTTCCAGATTTTTTACAATGTGAAGAATTACATTAAAATAGAACAAATATCTACATTTTTGACTCTAGGTCATACAAAACATGTTATTTGATGACAGCACTATTAGCTCTAGACAAATGTGATGGTCTTTTTAACTATCAATTATACATTTATTTGTATTCCAGTTGAAAGAAGTTGATTTTTAGATGAATTCCTAATAAAAGTAGTTATACACTGTTGTCTATAAAGTTGGAATAACATATGTTTGACTTCTTCTCATAATGAGTGTGACAATGTGATTTATTCTTGATAAAGTGTATATCTTAAAAAAAAAGAAAAAGATATTCCAATTTTATGGGCAACAGTTCTTTTGAATTATCATAAGGAAAATCTGAATCTTCCCAGTGTGTGAAAAGTATTTAAAAGCTGTTGTTTTTAGGACATTTTGTCTTCTTCTTCACTGCTTGTTGTGATATATATGCAGTACATAAGAAGACCGCTGTGTGTTGAGCATGTGGGTGTTTGCGTCTTCAATCACTTTACGTAGGCTTCATTCAGCTCCAATGATGTCATCCTGCCCCAGATTAGCTTCAATTAAGTATTTGATTGGATTTGATCAGGCCTCTAATACATCTATAATTGAATAACTTCGCCCACATATATGCTCTTATCTGTCTTCTGTGGGGGTTATATCTGATCGGTCAATAGATCAGGTGGATGAGCTGCGATGGTGAGCGCAGATAAACTGATTGGGTCTGCGGGCGTCGATGAGGGGGGAGGGGGGGGGCAGAATTAAAATGCTGCTGCCTGCTGCCTCTGTCTCCTCAGGTATGATTTATGGTGTTATGGTGAAGGGCAAGGGCACGCGAAGGCTTTTAGCATCAGGAAAAACAATAACGGATTGGGAATGGGAGGCTTTTATGCAGTAGACCAAATAATCTGCGTTTATGTACGGTTATATAAGATGACATGCCCTTTAATCTTCTGATATCAAAAGTGGATGGAGAGAATTGTTTGTTATGCTAAAGCCAAAACAGGCTAACTCTCATTCAACTCACTTCTTATTATCTCCTCGACCGTCCCTCCTCCTCTCTTGATTTGCGACGTCCTCTCATCACTCCTTCCCCCCTCTCTCTCTCATCAGGATGGCTCACGTGCCGGTCGGGATCGGAAGAAGACGGTGTCCTTCAGCAGCAGCCTGTCAGAGAAGAAGATCAGCAGTGCTGCAGACTGTATCCACTCCATGGTGGGTCAGCCACACTGTAATCCTTTACATTACAGAACATAACTTTTACATATCTGTGCAATACATATTGAATGTCCAGTGCATGCATCAAGGGTCTATGTAAGATCACAGCCTCAAACACTAATAGGGGCTTGTTCGGAGGGTTACAATTTCTTCCATATTTTTAAACTCATCTTTTTAGATTAGCTTTTTATTAGCAACCCCCAACTTGAAATGTTCTTTTAGTCTTTATAATTTACCTACCTTTATATTGTTTTATTCATTTTATAGGTCTTAATCTTTTTATTTTTTATTTCTGTTGTACCTATATGTTCACTTTGTTTTATGGGGTTTTATATTGTTGCATCGACTCAGTTGTCTTGTGTCTTACCTGTCAGAGAGAAACCATTATTTATTTTATTTTATTTGTATTACCATACATTTTACCTCCTTTTGTCTATTAACCTGATAACATGTCATATTTTGCTGCATGCACCTTTTAAAGTTCTTAACAAATAAAAAGGGGGGAATTTCTTGTTGTTTGTTTTTAACTTGTGATGTGTCATTTCGTAAAGCACTTTGAGCTGCATGTTTTGTATGAAAAGTGCTATAGAAATAAAGCTTTATTATTATTATTATTATTATTATTATGAATATTATTATTATTATATTTTGCTTCCAGGTTGAGGGGATTGAGCTGAAGAAAATCCGAACCAACTCCCGTGTTTACCAGCGTTACTACCTGCTGGACGCCGGGCTGCAGGCTCTGTGCTGGGAGCCGTCCAAGAAGGAGTCAGACAAAGCCCGCATATCTTTGGCTTCCATACGAGAGGTCAGTGTCAAGAGAAAAAAACTCCTTTAGACTGAGGCAAAGGGAATATTTACAACCCTTTACTAAATGGAGGTCAACATTTGATTTGTTTTTATTGCGTCTGATGTGGCTGTTCTCATCTCTCTAGGTACGGACCGGCCGCAACACAGAGACGTTCCGCACCAGTGGTGTTTATGAGCAGATTTCAGAGGACTGTGCGTTCTCCATCATCTATGGAGAGATGTATGAGAGCTTGGACCTGGTGGCCAACTCTGCTGAAGTGGCTAACATTTGGGTGACTGGCCTGAGGTATGATGCAACACATAATCAGGAGCAGTCTTGCATTGTTCACCCGATTGTAATATGTACCAGCAACACTGATTTTATAGGTAAAGAGTAGGGCTGTGCAATTAATCCTATTTTAATCGCAATTACGATTTTGGCCTGCCACAATTACGAAAACAACATAATCGAAAAAAACAATTATTTTGCTTTGCTAGGTTGTGACAGTGCACTGCAACATATTTGATCGAATTTATTTTTATTTATCATATTTATATATGTTTAGTAGCTTGTGGAAGTGCGCTCCAAAAATATTTGTTGATCTTGTTTATTGGTATTTGTTATTTTGAAATTATTTATTTAAATGTATCATTTATTTTTTTTATTGTTTTTTCAGTTAAATTATACGNTATTCTCTTATTGTTTGTATAACTATAATGATCGTATGAAGGTGTGCCGCGAAGTAATCTTTTAATAATTTGTGACAAAACCGTTATAAACACTGAAGAGTCCTTTAGCTCACCTGAGCCCCTCAGTCTGACAGGAGAGGACTCTCCTCCAGCTTGTTGTGGAAACAGCTCGTTATGTCCGTTAGTGCAGCTAGCTAACCAGATGCTAACATCACGGTCCCCGCTAGCACCGGTCCCTCTCTCCCCTTCTCTCCCACTCTCTCCCTAAATGCGCTATTGCCACACACACACAGAGCCGAGCTTGAATGACACAAGCACACGTGTATTTCCATGCAACTCTCTGATTGGTCTGGTGACTTGCCTCTGTTGCATTCATTGAACACGGGAAATTGCAGTCCTGCCGTCCTCTCTTGTGTCATGATGAGGTTCACATAAAGCACGGTTAATGTATTATATTATTGAGGTGTCTCAAATATACGTCAATCAAGTGGCACCTGCTAACCTGGATGATATGTTTACATCTAAAAACATATTTTTCAAACATTATTATTTTTATTTTATTTGTATTTCTTTTGTTACTTTTTTTGTTAACGGTCCGCGATCTACCCGCACCACACTCGCGATTGACTGGTTGGTGACCACTGCTTTACAGGGTTTCAATATGCATACCTTTTAAAGGAGGAGAGAGCTTTTTGCGAAAGCACAGAAATGGTTGTGTCAGAAGTAACAAAATAAAAGTTCCCAAAGTGAAAAAACTGTAAAAAGTATTTCAAAGAACAGAAATTGATTATTGGTGAACATGGTAAATGCATGCATCTGTTACACATGCTAGTTCTTACTGTAAAGGAACGTTCTGGAGCAAGGACTCGAAACACAATGAAAACACAGGAGAGCTGGAACTGATGTCAGACACTGAGGTTTCAATGGAAGTTATGACATTTGCTGAAGGAACAAAGTGACACAGCTCCTGCCTAACCAATTCTGAAGATCTCTCCCAAAACCCAAGTATTTACTTAGTTCTAGACTTAACTTTTCATGAAGAGAGAGAAAGTGGCAACCGAGATCACGTGCTTGAACGCTGATGATGGGAGGAAGTAGCACCCCGAGTTTGAGTTTGAGTGCCTGAATGCTGATATGGGAGTAGACTGATACACTGGGTAAAAGGCAGAGGCCAAGTAAAATACTTACTAACACTTACTGAGTCCACTGAGGATGATCGAGAAGCTAGAATCACCAATTATTTTGAAGTTACCTGCCGGAAAAACACTTCTAATGAGGTTCCTACGCAATTAACATGTACACTGTGCCATAAATAACACATTGTGTTTGCATATTGCATAAACAAATCCAACAAAGAAGCAGGGAATACAAAAAGCATAAGGAATTCATAAGCTAAGAAATAATGGCACGGAATGTTTTTCTCCCCTGTCAAAAGGAATAAAAAGTTGTCTAGTCCCTGGTTCTCTTTTCTCTCCCACTGGAACTTCTGAGACATGTTTTCCCCCTCTCTGCGTCTGTGTAATTGCACTTCACTCTCAGATGCCTCTCAACATATTTGAAGCATTGACAAATTCCCCCTTTCAGTGTTCTCATCATGGCTATTCCCTGGAAATGTACAAGGAAGAGGAGGAGGAGGCGAAGAAGACAAGCAGAGAACAGCCCTGGCTTCCCAGATGGGTTGTACCGCATCGATTGACTGGTGAAATATATCTCAAATCATATAAAACCAGCTCAGGGCCATGATATCTCTTTAGGGAGAAGACTCCGAGTCTCCCAAAGGCTTCTGGAAAACAATTGACAAGATGCAGAGCTTTTTTTGCTGCATCTGTGAGAGAGCGAAAATAATCGCGTTAGACTGGCTCCGGGTGTTGTTTTACTTCCAAGGTTTTCAACAGCACCAGGAAAAGGCTTGATTCCTTTGATTTATGGGCAATTAAAAGGCTTTAAACATGATTTGTTTTATACCAAGCCTCATCCACCATCAGGGGAAATCTCTGCTAAAAAGAAATTCCCTATGATATATGACACATGGGAACAAGACATGCAAGCAAAACTCTGAGGAAAGATTATGTGATGTGTCTCACATTATTCCGATTTATTTATTGTGGTGACATTTTTTAACTGTGGGTCAACTGTGGGGCTTTTTTCCCCTTACTTGCTATATTTTTTAGGGGTGACAAAGTATTACATCATTAGATTCCAGAATTAAACAATTTGTACCTTATCGTTCACCAATGTACCAGATCCATACCTTTTGCAGAATTAAGTCAGAAAATCCTGTTTGTGCTTACAACTTTAAAACTGAAAAATAATTTGTCCTGATTCACACAATTTGAGCTCTAGTTCAAATGTGTTTTTCCTACCTGCAGGGGTCCATTGCAATTGTTTGTTGGTTGCTTTTTAACATGAACATACACAAGAGATATGAAACTGGCACAACACTCGCTAATGCAATTTATTTTTAATTCAGTTACTTTTACTAAAATGTTTGAGTTCTAATAAAGCTCAGCGTAAGTTCAACCAGGAAGACCTTCTTTACTCATTCATTCACTATTTCCATGTTACTACTCTCTCTCCNCCATTTATTGAACTTTAAAACAAATACAAATAATAATTTGAACAGTATCTTTTCAACTGTTGATTACCCTGAACGTATAATTTAACTGAAAAAACAATAAAAAAAATAAATGATTTATTGTTTTTTCAGTTAAATTATACGTTCAGGGTAATCAACAGTTGAAAAGATACTGTTCAAATTATTATTTGTATTTGTTTTAAAGTTCAATAAATGGATGTTTTCAAAGTCAATGAATAATCGTATTTAATAATCGTGATATCAATTATTGACCAAAATAATTGTAATTATGATTTTTGCCATAATCGCACAGCCCTAGTAAAGAGCTTTCTGATCTACATACTTCCTGTTTGATATTTGGCATGTTGTTCTTTGTTATATAAAGCTGTCATTTTGGTGATTTAGGGAAGACATATTTACCCATATATTGACATTTTGCCTTCATTTAATCACTCATTGTCAGTCAGAAACTTTGTATACTTACTCTTGGTGCATTTAACACCTGTGCATTTTGAGAAACTGGTTCCTAAAGATAGGTGAAATGTATTTGTGGTTTAACTGAGGTTTGTACATGTGGCGTAGGCTAATCTAGCAAATACAGTTAGTCCCTTTATGTCAGTCCAACCTGATATCTCATGTTGCAGACTTTCCTGTCTTCCTGTTTTTATTGGCTGTGAATAGTGACATCGTGCCTGTCTTATTTCTTCGTGTCGTTCTCTGAGACGTGTTTGTGTTGCAGGACTGGCGGTGAATTTGATTTGAATTGAAATTGATTCGACTGCTGCAGTTATTTTATTTTATTGTCAGCGAGTTACATTGTAAGGATAACATTCGGTTTCCTCTAACTCTGCCTGTCCCTCTCTAATCCTCCTCCAGGTATCTGATGCAGTATGGGAAACACGCCCTGGACATGCTGGCCAGCAGTCAGGACAGCCTCCGCCTCGGCTGGCTGGAGCAGCTGTTCTCCTCGGCCGTGGATTCAGACGATCTGGAAGAAGACGTGGAAGGGTTACGCTTACAGCTGGCCGTTAAGTTGATACGGAGCGTGAATCCTGGTGTGGGCGGTGGCAAAGTGGAGCTCAGGTTTAAAGAGCTTCAAAGAGTCAGGACCAGCATGAGTGGGCTCACTCTAGAAAATGAATCTGGAGCTAAAGATCCCGGCGAAAACAAAAGACCAATAGGAAGAAATGAGCGCGTCACCAAGCAGGATTTCATCAAGGTATTCCATGACTTTTGCACACGTCCGGAGATCTACTTCCTGTTGGTGCAGTTCTCAAGCAACAAGGAGTTTCTGGACACCAAAGACCTGATGAGGTTCCTCGAGGCTGAACAAGGCATGGCTCAAGTGGGTAACACAAATGAATCCCGCCTACTAATAGCATAAAACAAGTCAGGCTTGCATTCACAAATGCAATCTCATCCACTCCTGCAGTGCCTGTTCCCTTCAGAACGGGCTGATTGCTTTGCCCTCTGTAGGGCTTCTTGCAGTGTTGTCAAGAACCACTGATCCACTCGACACTTCCCTCCCAGGGGTCCTCAGCAATACCCCTGCGAAGTCGATTGGATGAACGGTTCTTGAAAAAGTGCATACATACATACAGATATAGACAAAAAGTCAGAAAGAGATGTGAGCATCCATTCAAGTTAAATTATGCTGCACTACCGTTTGGCAAAATGGCACCAAATTTGAATCCTATTTACACATTTCTACCTAATGTGATTGCAATAACACAATACATATTTTGGATAAGCCCTGCCCACAGCATTTGGGCGAAACTGTATAAAACTTAAAAAAAACTAATGAAGTAGCTGTTTCCGGCTTGGTACAGAGATGTTCTGTACGAAATGTTGTGAAAATTGGTAAGTCATTCTATTAGGGGTAGCAGAAAAAGATTGGGAAACAATTAAAATTGGGAGAAAATTGATTTAGACACAAATGGCTTATATGGATAGACGGGATTGGTCCAAAAAATTATTTTGTCTGGGAAACGTATGGTTTTTTAATATAGCACCACCATCCTACCAATTTGCCCCATGTCAACACTGCACTCCCTTCAGTCACAAGAAATAAACCCTCAAAGTGTGAGGTTCAAACTGTTGTTGAGATATATGAACATGCACATACACACATAGAATACACCCTTATCCATTTTCTTTCTCCATCCATTTCCTCCCCCAGGTGAGTGAGGAGACCAGCCTGAAGCTCATCCTCTCCCACGAGCCGTCGGAGGAGGGCCGGCAGCAGGGGTACCTGTCATTGGACGGCTTCACCAGTTACCTCACCTCAGCAGAGTGCCACCTCTTCGACAGGGAGCACGACGGCGTGTGCCAGGACATGACCCAGCCTCTGTCCCACTACTACATCAGCTCCTCCCACAACACTTACCTCATCGAGGACCAGTTTCGAGGTCCGTCCGACATCTCCGGCTACATCCGGGCGCTGAAGATGGGATGTCGCTGTGTGGAGGTGGACGTGTGGGACGGCCCCGATGGAGAGCCTGTGGTCTGTACGGGACACAGCCTCTCCCCGCCTCTGCTCCTGCATTGTGTGTTGGACGCAATCGGAAGGTTTGCGTTTGTGGCTTCTCATTACCCTTTAATTGTTTGTATTGAGAACCATTGTTCTGTCCAACAACAGCAAGTCATGTGGCAACATCTGGTGAAGATACTCGGGGAGAAGTTATACGCAGATCCTCCATACGAAGGGAAGTCATACCTGCCATCACCGCATGCCCTGAGGAATCGAATTCTACTAAAGGGTAAAAAGTTGGGGCCTGATGGGGAGGATGGGGAGGTGAGTGAGGAGGATGAAGGGGCAGAGATGAGTCAAAAGATAAAAGCGGCCAACAGCGGGGGGGCAGCGCCTGGAGGAAATGAAAAGGAAATGTTGCAGAAAAGTGTCACAGCTGTCCCTCCTGTTCCTCTTCCTCCCAAACGTTTCCAACTCTTGAAGGAGCTCTCTGATCTCGTGACACTTTGCCGCTCCATCAGCTTCATTGATTTCCCCACGTCATCTAAAAGCCAGAACCCTTGGGAGCTGTGTTCCTTCCACGAGACTCTGGCCGTGCGTCTCGCTGGCGAGAGCCCCGGAGACTTTGTCAATCACAACAAGCATTTCCTGTCGAGGGTCTACCCCAACCCCATGCGTATTGACTCCAGCAACATGAACCCTCAGGACCTGTGGAAGTGCGGCTGCCAGATAGTGTCTATGAATTTCCAGACAGCGGGACTGATGATGGACCTGAACACGGCGTGGTTCAGGCAGAATGGGAACTGTGGTTACGTCCTGCGGCCTGCCATCATGCGGCAGGAGGTGTCCTATTTCAGCGCAGACACCAGAGACACGGTGCCTGGTGTGTCTCCGCAGCTGCTCCATGTCAAGGTGTGGTGTTTTGTGAAGTTGTTTAAAACTTGAATGATCCTCTTAATCAGGGGTTTTCAAAGTCTGGTTCTGTGGGCCTACCCTAACAAAGCTGGAAAGGCATCCCCTTAATCTCCCTTAGTTACTTAGTTTCATCATTTCTCTCAATTCCTGGATGCCTATGGTATCAAAATAGCCTACATTGGTCATAAACGCTCCGAAAAAACTAGTTAAGATAGTTTCATATTGCTGGTTGACACAACTGCAGACTAAACTACATTGATAAAAAAAGAAGGTATTTATAAGATTATGAATAAGTGGGAAAAATTGAAAAAAAAGAAATACTGTCTCGAAAGTATGTAGTAATGTAATAACCTCTAATATGTTTCACTTCTCCTGAAAAGTCTAGCCCTCCTGGACAGGCCTGCCTCTTACTTTGAAAACCTCTGTTCTCAAGTCATTATGATGTTCTGAAAATGTATCAATAACCTTTTTGTTGATTCTTCTCCCAGGTGATAAGCGGCCAGAACCTGCCCAAGCCGAGGGGCTCGGGGGCCAAAGGAGACGTGGTGGACCCCTACGTGTACATTGAGATCCACGGCATCCCGGCCGACTGCACGGAGCGCCGCACCAGGACGGTGACCCAGAACGGAGACAACCCCGTGTTCGATGAGAGCTTCGAGTTCCAGATCAACCTGCCGGAGCTCACCATGGTGCGCTTCGTGGTGCTGGATGACGACTTCATAGGGGATGAGTTTATAGGTCAGTGTCCGGGTCAGAGGTCACAACTGTAACGATAAATTAAAATGTCATGATATGCTTTCAAATTCAATCTAATCTCCCTACCACCACAGGGCAGTACACCATTCCTCTGGAGTGTCTTCAGCCGGGGTACCGACACGTCCCGCTCCAGTCTCTCACGGGGGAGGAGCTTCCCCACGCCAAGCTGTTCGTCCACGTGGCGCTCACCAACCGGAGGGGAGGGGGGAAGCCTCACAAGAGGGGACTGTCGGTGAGGAAGGCCCGCAAAGGGAGGAACTACGCAGCTCTGAGGGACCTGGGGGTCCGGGCTGTGGACGAGGTCTTCAAGATGGCTTCTCCTCCGCTGAGAGATGCCACTGACCTGAGGGAAAACATGCAGGTGAGGAAGAAAGCAGCATAACATTAATCAACAATGATTTTGTTCGTTTTCTGGGTTCATTGAAGTCATTCATCAAGCAGGATTCTCAAATGTGATTATTTGATACACTGAATATCACTGGGTTTTAGACTGATGGTCAGATAACATAGGTATAGGAAGATGTTGCATTGGATTCTGGGAAATTTGGTTGCACCCCCTAAATATGTTTTCATTCATATCTACACTGTAGCTAATGTGCAAATGACAATAAAGCCTTGAATCTTGAACAAAATAATTCACTATATTCCTGCTTGTTCATAGAGGGTAAACAGTCTTATCTTCCGTGCTCATATCTATTGAAATGTAACTGCAATGATTGTTCTTGTACCAGAAAAGAACCAAAGGGAAGAAAGGGTGGCACATTTTCTGCAATTGAAAAAAAAAAATCAAAAAACTGATCCAACTTTTTAGAGCCAGGCAGAAACTTGATCTGTGGTTTCTCGTGTCACACCTTCAACCTGATCTACTATAACAACACAGTGTGTGTGTGTGTGTGTGTGTGTGTGTGTGTGTGTGTGTGTGTGTGTGTGTGTGTGTGTGTGTGTGTGTGTGTGTGTGTGTGTGTGTGTGTGTGTGTGTGTGCAAATCAAGTGTGAGACGTACAGGAAGTGATTTCACATATTTTCTGTTTATTTCATTTTGATTTCACTCCGTGTATCCGTACTGTTTTTCCACCAGGGTAAGGAAATACAGAGAGAAAGAGAGAGATTCTGAAATGTGTGTGTACAGTAGCAGACTAACATGTGTCCGCCCTGTCTCTCTTTCCTCCAACAGAACTCAGTAGCAGTGTTCAGAGATCTGTGTGGCGTGTCCGTGGCGGCTAACCTCATGCAGTGTGTCCTCGCTCTGGGCTCCCGGGTTTCAGGGCCAGACGGGGCGCCATTGCTACTGTTTGACCTCCGGGACCACTACCCCGCACTGGACCCCCAGGGGCCCCTCCCTGACGTGCTTCGCCGGGTCGTCTCCACTTATGAAATGGTGAGAAAGGAAGACAGTAAATATGCTTTAGGTTTCTCAGATAAAGGAGATAGACATAAAAAGGAAGGAAACAGCAAACAAAAGCAGCAAAGATCAGTGCGCCCCTCCCATCTCCTCTCTACTTGACCAAAGCGCAAGATGACCCCCCCCGCCCCCCCCCGCTCCGCCTTCAAGACAAAAGCTTCCTTTTTAACTGATATGTTCTCAAACACAAAGTGGGCTCTCATTGTTGCGTAGGAAACAACATTCACATTTGCTATGGCTGCAACATGACTCGTAAACACATTGGCGACATCCTCACCTTGGCTCCAAGCCACCACGTGTTCCCAGACTAATAAACTGCAGGCTATCATCGACCAGGAGAAAGTTATTTAACAGGCCTATTTTTATTTAATGACGTCTAAAAATAAATCCAGCCTCCCCCGTGGAAACACAGCGAGAAATAAAAGGGGGAAGAGCGGTCAATTGGACTGTTAATCAACTAATCAAAAGTCAATAAGGCGGGATTAGTCATTCAGTTTGTGGGTTTAGGTCGCTGCAAGGATACAGTGTGAGACTGTCAGATATTCCCTCTTTTATCTCTCAGCCCTTTAATCTTTCTCAGTTCTTCTTCTTCCCTCAGGGGCTTGCTGCTGGCCCCCTATAAGTGGTTTACATACAGCTATAATCCAGCACTGTAACCCTCTCCATGTGTTGCTGTGGTGAACAACATTACTCCCTGTTTACAGCCATCTGTCTGCCGGCTGCAACACACATATTCGGAGATTTACTCAAAGTGCACTTGTTTATGTTTCATATCGGATATTCCCCAGGAGTATTGTGGGTAGGGAGGATGAACAGTCGGTATCAATTGCCAATTTACAGATAGTGACTGCATTGTGAGTGAGGCAGGTTTATGACCAAACACAGGCTGGATTGAAGACAAATAAACCCCTTTCTGTTTTTATTAAGTCATGATTAAGGTGTTTGTCTTTAAAGCATGACACTGTAATTGAACTAGGGTTGTTTGTCTCTGCTATACAACAAGCAACTGTATAGTGTGTCTTTGTGTGCATCAGTGTGTAAGTAAGTAGTGTGTGTGATTCTGTGTGTGTGTTTAGCCACTTTCATTTGCAGCCAAGCGGGTAAGAGTAGAAAAAGCTTTACTGGATACCATTAGCATAGATTTGAATGTCGCTTGGATGAATGGATTCCATACCTCAATCCTGAAGGCTGAAGAGGGAGGGGCGAACAACAGCGACAGGAAATATGGAGGAGTGTGTGTCGTATTGAATTGGAGCTGGTCAAAATGTATGTACTATTTTCTCCCCATACAGGGGGTCTGGTCCCAGTGGGGTTTGTAGTGCGCAGAATTAATCAGGCAGGAGCTACGCATGTCATTCCCGTGTGTGTGTGTGTGTGTGTTTCATTACTTTGAAAGAGCTGTCACATTAATCTCTGTGTGCCTTGTGTGTACATATAAATATATAAAGTACTGTTTGTGTCTGCTGTGCAATGTGTGTGGAAACAGCCTACAGTGTGAAATCCAATTGGCTGTATGAGTCATTTAACTACCCCCAGCATATGCAATATAGTTTCTTATCAGTTATCAGTTATCACAATAGAATTTGATTTAGTTGTAAATGTTCGTATCCTGTGGGATTTACACCAATTTGATGTATCGTGTTATAGTGGGCAATTAAACAGACTGTGAGCCGACATGTTTGATTTACACACAAAAAAAGACGGCACAATTAGTTAAGGGCTTACGGCAGATGTGCAACCTTGAGTCAAATGACGCATTTAATGACTTTAGATGGAACTAATCCAAAAAGACCGGAGTTTTTCAACTCATAAATACTAGAAAACAGATAAACTTTGCCATAAACCAAATATTTTCCCTTAATTTCTTGAATCAGCTACAATTAACGCTATTAATTGCCATCAAGTCTGCAGTTAATTCCCCAGATCCTCTTAGTTTGAACCGGTACGACCACATGAAATTGCAGGAGAGAACCATGAACAACTAGCGCTGAGTTACTGAAAGACCAAAAAAAAGATTAAAAAAAAAACGTTAGTTTGGGTAAAAAAAAAACAATGCGTTGGTCAACCAAAAACAAATTGTGTGTGTGTGTGTGTGTGTGTGTGTGTGTGTGTGTGTGTGTGTGTGTGTGTGTGTGTGTGTGTGTGTGTGGCTAATAGATGCTCCTCTGTCTGCAGATGGTCCAGGCGAGCAGAGCGGTGATTGAGCTCTCCGACGGAATCTACGACCGGATCCTGCACATACAGACAATGGGTGTGTAGGCGTTTGTGTGTGTGTGTGAGTTACGGCTATGTTGAGCGTGTTTTATGCTGTGTGTGTAGAAACAGTACAATGCCCATGTTCCTACTGCACTCATGAAAACTCCCACTCACCCTCAGCAGTGTTGTTAAACACTGCGGTGGCTGCTTTTGTCATTAATTGAACTCCCTTTCCTCTCATGCTCTCTCCTCTTCTCTCTTCTCATACCCTCCTTTCTTTCTGTCCTTTTTTGCTGTGTCCTCTTTCATTTCCTTTTCTTCATCATTATTTTTTGTATTTTGCACTTTCATCTTCTCTGTTCTGCTTATCCCCTTTTTTGCATTTTATTAATTTATTTCCCTCTCTTCCAATTTATTTTCACCCCTTTTTCCATCTCCTCTCCCATTCATCCTCATCCTGTGCACTTTCTTATCCTCTCCCTGTATCCTCATATCATTAGTTTCCCTTTCATTCCCTTTTCTCCGCTCCTCTTGCATTCCCTCCTTGCATTTCTCCTTTCCTCTCATGTCCTCTCCTTTCCTCTCTTGTCCTCTCCTTTCCTCTCCTTTCCTCTCATTTCCTCTCATGTCCTCTCCTTTCCTCTCATGTCCTCTCCTGTCCTCTAATTTCCTCTCCTTTCCTCTTGTGTCCTCTCCTGTCCCCTCATGTCCTCTTCTCTCCCACCGTTTTTCCAATCCCATCTGCTGCAGAAATGTGCTAATCAACAGTTTCACACGAGGGTAAAATGAGTCTTTTTACCGGCCCGCTTCATCTGCATGTTTTGGATTGAGTGGGTTTATTGTGAATTGGCGCAGCTACCAACAACAATTATCCTTCAGTCTGTTTGGCGAAGCACCCTATCTTACTTTCTGCTATGACTTCTGAGATCTCTGGCAGAGGTTTGTTTACTTCTGCAGGGCCCCTTGGGTCATCTGACATTAGCCAGCCAGACTGTCGTCACAGTAGCAATAAAGAAAGCCACGTACACACCAACACACACATTTTACCCACATCCGCTTTCTCAGCCCAATTCAGTGTTCAGCTGTCACCCAGGAGACGCTTTGATAGACGTTTGGAAGTGTGAACGATAGGCTTGGGAAGAAGAATAAACACTTCCACGTTATTATTCTCTAGCTGTCTGGTTTCAAAAAGCTGCGGTGACAAACATCAAGGGGTTTCATAAGTATGGCAATTGGGAGACATATCTAAGTATTATAGGTCTTATAAGAGTTGAAATGCATTAAAACTCATCAGTATGTTCAATACCGCCTTGGAGAGAAGCATGAAGAGATAAGAGGAGATATTTGGAGAGGAAGATGATGATTGGATTGGGGCAATTTTGGAGGACGGGAGAGTTCGAGGAAGATGAATGTTGTTTATAAATGTGCAGGCTGCTCCACTTTGCTCCGAGTCAACTCAACCCGTCCTCCACTCAACTTTATGTTGGGTTTATGGGGCCACAGGGTCACTCGCTGATGAAAAATGTGTGACATGGTCAGCTCGGAAGGCCAAACTCTGCGGAAACCATCTATTATCATTTACTTGAATTTCACATGTTACCAGTTATAATATTTGTCAATGGTGTGAATTCAAAGCAAAGTATTTTAGTACGGGGCCAGTATGTTCATCTGATATAATAAGAGGTGCTGCAGATCCCCGAGGCCTGATCAGATGAACAAAGCTCTTCCTGTGTGTACACATTAAAGATGGTGATCAGGTGATCCCAAGACAGAGGTCTTCCTCTCTGCCGGGGAAGGGGGGGGGGGCGGAGATGGATGTCTGGAAGTTACATCAGAGCAGAGAGTTGAAACGGAGAGGGAGAAGAAAGCTGTGGGAAGACCAAACGCTACAAGTAACGCTGAGAGAAAGACAAGAACACCCAGAGAGAGGGAATTCTTTGAAGTTTGTGAAAGGCCCATTTCGTCGTAAAAACCCCCCCCACTTGTTTTCTCAATAATGCCATATTTCTGTCTCTTTTAATAGAAGAAATGCTTATTAAAAAGTAGCAACCAGACTGAATAGCAGTGTTTTCAGCCATCTCTCGTCTCCAACACACGTACTGTAACACCGTGGAGCACAGCGTGGATTTTTAGGGGGTGTGAGGTTGTTCTCTCTCCAACCATGTGTCTGTCCTCATTATTTTGGATAATCCACACAGCACACTGGTTTGATTTTCCTCTCCAAAAAACAATTCCAATAAAAACAGGTCAGTGAGGTCGGGGGGGTTTATCTAGAGTAATTCCTGTAAGAGATGTCACTGTTCCATTTTTCAATCCTGAGTAACATTTGGTTCACCGTACTTCAGAAAATAATATCTTAAAAGCAGATCAAACCAAAAGGATCAAATCTGCTAGAAGTATTACGTGGAAGAACCCAACTTATACTTGATTATCAATTATAATGTTGCATTATAGTTTGAATAAACACTTTATTATAACGTTTACTCGAAACAATTGTTTTAATAGACTTGTACAAAGTTTCCCTTTTTGAAATTAATTAAATAAGTAAAAAACAAGTTCCAAAGTAAATTATATCTAAGTTTGAAAGCTATCTCCCTTTAGAAATATGTATAAATCAAACTGTGTTGCATTTTTTTCCCATTTATATATACAAGATATGGCATGGTAACCTTCCATTTTCCTGTAAAAGGCGTTTTGCCGTTGAAAATAGACATGTTTGTGCTCTCTGTTGGACAAACTATGAATAGTTGAACATGCTTCCATACAGAGCACACAGTCTGTGGATGGTTTGATGAATAAAATACCAGATTTTAGCCGCTCTCCTTCTCCAACTTCGCCAAATAAGGGGATATCTCTTGGAAGAATGCTCTGTTATTCGGGTGAAGCGACCTATAATGAACCTCAGTGGATCAGCTGATTCCCTCCAGAGCCCTGTCCTGCGAAGTGGTGAGACTCACATCTGGATTTACTCTGAAGATCTCACACTTCATAAGATGCTAACACACAAACTCACACCTGGCTATTTTTAACGCAGGAAGTCAGATCTGTGTTCTCCTGCGCCCGGTTCAAATAGAGGACAGGAAGGGAAGGTGATGCACTTCCTGTAGCGCCCTGGTTGGCCGGCATTGAAGGATATTTGTGGGTCAGGACCCCGTTTCTCTGTGTATGCACACTCTCTCAGTGTTGGCCTGGAAATAATGTTCCCTCCTTTGGCTACACTCGGTTTCACAGGGGAATAGAGACACACTCACACACATCAAATTGGCACCTAGGCTTCGAGTTGCCTAGCAACCGTGTGGGAAAGGTTATTATTCAGTCAAATTCTGTAGGTGTGTGTGAGAGTGGAGCAGTGACAGAGACGTATATTTGTGCACGTGTGTGTTTGCAAACGTTTAGTGGCCGAGAGGGATCGTCTGTGAGGAATTGTTAAATTATACTTACATCCAATCTGTTTACGCTTTCATCAGCGCGCGCGCGTGTGTGTGTGTGTGTGTGTGTGTGTGTGTGTGTGTGTGTGTGTGTGTGTGTGTGGTCCACTGTTTGGCACGTTTAATGTCTAGGCTCTCGTTGATCGCTCACAGTTATGTGCGCCCCGTGTTAACCCATTTCCGGGTTTCCATGGTAACAGTGGGACAGTGGCCCAGGGCGGTCAGAGAAAGCCAAATACACAACACAACTCAGCGCTCGTACTCTCACTAGCCGGAGGACAGACTTTCCTCGACACTCTCTCACATTTCTCAGATTTGCCATCAGCTTTCCAATATCCCCTTTGCATTTGTCATTCTCTGTTTATTCTCCTCTCTCTGGGAAATCAGATGCTCATAGTCTGAATTTCAATAAGGAGGGATTAATTAGAAGGGTATGAAAATTAATTGAGGGTGGCAACACAGACAGACTTTGCCGATTAGGCCTCATTGATGTGAAGCGTTTTCATTAGGCGTCAGGCTGTATGAAGACGGGAGATAACACAGAGCTCCTGGGAGTCTACTCACTATAGAGGAGTAAAGCCTGCAAGTGGAGGATGGAAACTCACAAACCGATTGGTTTAAGGAATGCAAGCAAAAATAAGACTGGTCAGATATGGAGCTGCAGAATTTGTGAATGTTATTAACAGAGAGGCAGGAGGGAGAAATGTGAGGGAAAACATCTTTATTACTGAACTCCAGCCAAAGTGTGTGTTGTAGTTCTAGGGCCTCTCATTGAATCGCACACATTCTCTACAGCTAAATGAGAGACAATTACTTCCACTACATACTTGAGTGAACACTGAGGACTGAAGACAATGAGCTTTCTGAAAATATTTCACAATGTACACAAAACAATGTGCTGGTACAGTAGGAATGCAAGTTTGAGTGATGCACTTGATGGGGTCTATTAGGCTAAGTGTGTTTGGTTTGTCAAATCGCGGGAATTTTTCAGATTTCAATACCTGAAACAGACAAAGACTAGAAGACTAGTGCTCTCTAAGTTTTAAATAACGAACACACAGCAATCAAAATGATCCTTGTGTCCTGATCATTACAGTTAAAGTACCACTTTTACACTGTTTTTCTACAAATAAAACATTGATAATTGTGCCATCCATTCTCAATTTTCAATCTTTTCATGTGGATCTTTGGATAATTTTAAATAAAGTGCAAAGCATATTTGTCTTACCTGCTGTGGTTGTTTGTATTTCCTCTCTAGCCATGGAGTTTCACGAGAAGCTGCAGAGTCTGGCGGAGAAGGAGGGGCTGCGGGGTCGCAAGGTCAGCCGGGCGCTGGAGAGTTTCAGCTGGAACATCACTATCCTTAAGGTCAGTCAGCAACACACACTCTCACACACACACACCATTAGGGTAGATCAGGGGTCGGCAACAGGCGGACCGCAGTCTGGATCCGGACCCAGACGCCGACCTATACGGACCCGGACCTATATAATCTATACATTAGTAGGGGATTTTTCGGCACCTCCCGCTTTTTTAACGCTGATTTGTGTGAGTTGTGTAAGTCGTGGAGAACCGAAGAGTTTTCGTTTTGGGGGGGGGGGGGGGGGGAAGTCAGTCAGTCAGTCCGTCCGTACGTCAGTCCGACTGACGGACAACTTCTCACTTCAAAAAAGAAGAAGAAATCTAGACCGCAAAAATAATTAAACAAGCGAGTACCTGTTTTTCCTGGCCAAGGACAGGTTCCTTGAACACAACACGAGCGTAACGTGTCTTCACGTGGTATATGTCTCGTCTGAAAGGAGTGCTGACGGAGAGCACCAGAACGCCGCTCCAGACCTTCAAATATGTGTCTTTATTTGTAAGCACAGTGACGATCTGTTGTTATTAGCATCTGGTTAGCTAGCTATATTAACGAATTTAAAGAGCTTTTCTACAACCAGGTGGAAGAGAGCTCTCTCCTGAGAGGCTCAAATAACCTCAGCTCAGTGAGGTTCAGGCACACCTTGATATGATCATTATAGTTATTAATGAGACTAAATTAAAAACAGGTATAAAATACTATATGACAGTAACAAAAAAGTTGTTAAAAATAACAAGAATAGAGTTTAAAAGGGGAGTGATTTGTAAAATATCCAAAAATAAAAATCTGCTTACAGTTCTGTTTCATATGGGTGTTGAAAGATGAATCCATAGATCTCTTCATTTTGCTCTCAAAGTGCACCAGATTGATGCTTTTAACTTCAAACTTCAATATTTCAAAAAAAAATCTTCCCGGGGGAGCATGCCCCCGGACCCCCCTATAGAAGGTTAGGTTCCCCCCCCCCTTAAATCATGTTCACATGGATAGGATACTAAATACATTTGCACACATCTTGTGTCCATATCTTTCTGTTTTGGTGGTCATGCCACAACCGTGCACATGCATGCATGCGTGAGTCATGGTGAGATATCTGGATTGAGAGGTTGCTTTTTCTTTGCACAGCATGAAAGAAAGGCGAAATGAATGGGCTGTGATTTTAGTTTTTTTAAGCAGAGGTTGAGTTCAATAATTTGTACGGCCCTCGGAGGATGTTGTAAAAATTGAAAGGAAAAAGGTTCCCCACACCTGCTGTAAATAATAATAAAAACCCTTGATTTATAACTTAACATCTCTGTCTCCTATTGATCTGAGTATATTATAAAGAATAGCCAGTTAATTGAAGCATTATAGCNACACTAAGAAAGTGGATCACATCACTCCTGTTCTGAAGTCTTTACACTGGCTTCATGTGTGTCAAAGAATAGATTTCAAAATACTGCTGCTGGTTTATAAAGCTTTGAATGGTTTAGGCCCAAAATACATTTCTGACCTCCTGCTAAATTATGAACCATCCAGATCTCTCAGGTCTTCAGGGACTGGTCAACTTTCTGTCCCCAGAGTCAGAACTAAACATGGAGAAGCAGCGTTCAGTTATTATGCTCCAAATATCTGGAACAAACTCCCAGAAACCTGCAGGTCCGCTGCAACTCTGACTACTTTTAAATCCAGGCTGAAGACTTTTCTTTTTGTCGCTGCTTTTAATTGAACTATTCATATCTTAGACTGCACTGTAACTTTTATCCATGTATTTTTTCTTTTAATGTTTCTTTTATTAGCTTTTCTTTTTAATGACTGATTTTGAATGCCATTTTCTTAATGTCTTTCATTTTTTGTAAAGCACTTTGAATTGCCTTGTGTTGAAAAGTGCTATATAAATACACTTGCCTTGCCTTACTAACATGACAGGCATCGGTTGGACAGCCCCAGGTCCAGTGACCTACCTTAAGGTCCACTTTAGTGTTGACAGCCTCGGATGTCTCCTCCTCAACGATGTCGGGCTCATACAGAGGCTGTCCTGGCTCTTGGGGGGGGGACATAGGGGGCACCTTCACTGCATGATTATTGGCAGTGGAGCCAATACCAAAGAAGTCAAGGATAACCACCCAGGTCTGCAGTGTGATCAGAACGTCCAGGCAGTTAAAGTCCACATCAACGCTTCGTCCCACTCTGCCGTAGCGTGTTTTGAACTCTGGGTGGTTCTGGTCCACCAGCAGCACATTGATATGAACTAGGGAGTCATCAAAATCTGGAGGGGGCTGAGGGGATGGTGTATGACGGGTAGGGGAGGGAGGTGGAGTGTTGGGACAGTCTATGTCTCTCTTGGATTTGCGAGGGGCAGCTGACGGGGTGCTGGGATGCCTCTGGTAGAGCTGAAAGACGTTCTGGGCCTCCTCCATGTGTGCAGGCAGTGAGCGGGGCATGTCTGGGTACAGCGCATTGGATGCTGATGGACAGCTTTGTGAAAGGTACTCCTTTGGGCTGAAGGTGGAGGGCTTGGGTGCTCCATGAGACACCATCAAATGCTTGTATTTAGACTCAGGGTTCTGCTCCAGGAGGTCCTCCATTAGCAGCGAGCGCAGAGCTAGCTGGACTGTTAGTAGATGAGGATGGTCTTTGGTGAAGTCTCCCTCCAGATCTCGGAAGCGCAGGCTGACCAAGCCCTGGGATCCCTGGGTCAGGTCAGCACTAAGCTGCACCTGCAGTTCTGCCACATGTAAGATGACTTTGAACTGAGTAAAGGAGGAGTGATTAGCGGGTTTGTGAGACTGGAGAGGCAAAGGAGAGGAAAGCGACGAGTGGGAAAAGCTCATATAGGGAGGGTCCCTTGCAAACAGCCCTCCCTGGGGGTCAGGAAACCGGTGCGGTCTGGTGGAAGAAGGCATTGGTGGAGGTGGTGTGGGCGGTTGGCTGGGTGTGACACGTTGCTCCTCAATCAAGGACAAATTGTCCAATGTCTGCAGTACTTGTTCATACACAGGCTTGCACAGGAACACCTATAACCAGAAAGTGAAGCATTGGTAAAATGAATACCAGTTAGTAACCCTATTTCAAACATGTTATTCAACAGCTCTGCACTCAAGCATAAAGGTAAAGTCCCCTCTCTTATTTTCAAAAGGGCTTTATTGGGAACTGGTACTTCATAGTTGAAGTTGGCCATCATTTAAATTCTGCTAGTATTTTAACTGGGGACAGTTTTAATATGATGTATACCTGAACAGAGTTGACAAATTTGCCCTCGATTCGGAGAAGCCCTGTGCTCTTACAGGGCTCCTCTGCAGTGAGGAAGGTGAACTGGGTGTCTTCTTCAACTGGAACCTTCTCCAGGGTGAACTGTATAGTGGTGTCTTTCAATATATGGAAAGCTGGTAAAGAAAACAAACATGTGGTCTTGTGTAAAAAGCTGCATCTAAAATATATGCTTATATTATTTGCATCTCCAAGCACATAGAATAGCATTCGGAACACACGTATGAATGAAATGGGTAAAATGTTTACCTTTTCCACGGCTGAGGGATTCAAAGAAGTCATGGCGTGTGAATTGTGGCTCATCATGATTCACACTTCCGTTGTGGGATGGTGATATGCTGCCAGCTCTGTGTGTCCTCTTCAATACCAAATGACTCATGTTGACTGAATACAGTCGGATATCCTTCACCAACACCTGTAGCTTCTCACCTTCAGAGTCTTGCCCGGTAACACAATTCTGAATTGTTATGCTTCCCAGATGACCAACCAACAGCTCAGGGTGTCCAGGTTTACGGGGAATGGAAACAACTGGTGATTCAATGCTAATATTAAGATTCAGCTTCACCAAGAATGTGTCTAAGGTGGATTCAGGTTCCTCCATGGGAGGATCCTCCTCCTCCTCATATGGATAAGCCCAGCTCTGACTCTGAGTTCGAGTTCTCCGTGAGGGAGTCTCAAAGAGCGAAACCATACCGCTGTACTCTGCCGTCTTGGTGGCTAGAACTGTTGAAACTTTGGTGGCAGCGCTTTTCAGCATGGAGCGGAAATTGTCTTCAACCTCATTGGCAGACAGACTCAACTCCTTTAGGAACTTGGCTGAGTGGTTATAGTGCAAGGAGGCCATTTGAAGTTCCAAGGAACACTCCCCTTGTGATTTCTCCATTAGGCAGAAATGTAAAGCTTCTGAGGAAGAACCTTCTATGTCAGCAAGGAATGTTAATCCGCCAACATTGCAGGAGCTATCAGCACTACCAATGCTAACCACAAACTGGCTTCGGCCTCCTTCCTGGGTCAGGTCCACCAACTGCATGGACCCGAGTGATCCATTAATGTCCAAACGACTGCCCATGGACACATTGACCTTGGTGCCTGTGATGCTGGCAGTGGCAATCTTCAACCCTTTCTTCTCAGCAAACAGGGCAGTGCCAGTGGACACAGTCCGGAGTAGAAGCAGGTTAAGACGATGGATCTCCACAGTCAGCTCTTTGTTCTGGTCATATGTTGCCTGATATGTCCCTTCCTCTTCCTCACTGCAAGGCTGTGTTGTATGTTGCTGTGCTGACGATGTCCAGGAGCTTTCTTCCTTAGGAAAAGACTTCTGGAGGAACTTGAGTAGCTCCACCATGGTCTCAGGGTTGAGAATGATGTCCAAGTTATTGACCTGCATGCTTGTCACCTGAAGGGAGCTGTCCAGGTTCATGGAGGGGCAGTCTGAGCTCACAAACTGGTACTCAAGCTTTATTAGGGCCTCCTGGTCTTTGAGAAAGGAACTGAAGGGGGAGATGCTATCAGTAGGCATACCAGAGGGTAACTCAGTATGATGGCACTGATGCCCGGGAGACCTGCCTTCAGACAACAATGGGGCCGAAGGCTGGCTCTCCCGGAGACTGCCCGAGGGTATGTCAAAACTGAGATTTTTATGTGAAGCCACAAGGAGGTCGAAGTCTGAGCCATAAGTCTGTAAGGTGTCTACCAGCAGAAGACCATGGACAGTTAGGGAGACTTCAGCATCATAAGGCCGCTTGACAAATTTAGCATTTGT